ATCATTTGCCTGTAAGCAAAAACTGGTGGGATCATAAAATAGAGAAAGTCATAGAAAATGATAAAATTAAACTGCTCTGGGACTTCAGAATTCAAACAGACAAGCACCTGCAACATAACACCCCAGACTTAACAACTGTCGATAAGAAAGACAAAAAAGTCTGGATAGTGGACGTGGCAGTGCCTGGAGACCGCAGAATAGACGAGAAAGAACTGGAGAAGATAACAAAATACAAAGACCTACAAATAGAAATAGAAAGACTGTGGCAAAAGCAAGCAAGGGTAGTACCAATAGTAATAGGCTCCTTGGATGCAATCCCAAAACAACTAGAGCACCACTTGAACACCATTGGCATTGACAAATTTGCTATTAGTCAATTGCAAAAGGCGGCCTTATTAGGAACTGCTTCCATCCTGCGACGAGATCTGTAATACCATCAAACATCCACATCTGCCTATCCCAGGTCCTGGGTAAGGACTCGATAGGTAGAAAAAATGCCAAATCCAGTCTGAACATCTGGCTGACTATGCGATGATCCATAATAATAAAAAAGTTGGAAGTCCTTGGAGGTCATCTAGTCCAACCCCCTACTCAGGCAGGAAACCCTATACTATTTCAGACAAATGGTTGTCCAGTCTCTTCTTAAAAACTTCCAGTGTTGGAGCATTCACAGCTTCTGGAAGAAGGTTGTTCTACTGGTTAGTTGTTCTGACAGGAAATTTCTCCTTAGTTCTAAGTTGCTTCTCTCTTTGGTTAGTTTCCATCTGTTGCTTCTTGTCCTGCCTTCAGGCGCTTTGGAGAATAGCTTGACTCCCTCTTCTTTGTGGCAGCCCCGGAGATATTGGAACACTGCTATCATGTCATCCCCAGACCTTCTCTTTATTAAACTAGACATACCCAATTCCAGCAACGATTCTTTACACGTTTTAGCTTCCAATCCCTAATCATCTTTGTTGCTCTTCTCTGTTCTCCTTCTAGAGTCTCAACATCATTTTTATATCGTGGTGACCAAAACTGGATGCAGTATTCCAAGTGTGGCCTTACCACTTACCACACTTTATTCGTTGTATGTCTAAAGAGAAATACAGTTAGAACATTGAATCTGGTTTGTTCAAGTTCCTGCCTTAGTCATGAACATTGTATTAAATATCCTTGTGCAAATAACATCATCAACAACAACAGCAACAACTTCTCTTATTTTTGCAACCTAACCTGTTTTACTGGATTTTATAAGACTACAGAATAGTCTTGATGATGATGCTAATTTTAGGGGGTTCTCTTTTTGAAATGAAATATGAGTTGTGAGTTGTGAGACCTATTTCGGACACATCCTGGAAAATTACTAATGATCATATTCTTTTTTTTTTAACCAACAAAACAAAACAAAGCAAAACATAACATACATATACACACAATATATACTCCTCTCCCTTTTTTTACAGCGATTGCATAACGGTAATCTATTATTTACATTTCCCCCCTTATTCTTCTTTAGAATATTTGTCCTTATTGCCCTGTTATTTCTTATTTATATTTTTCTTCCTTCATGTTCTACTTCTTACGAAGAATAATTCATATTATTATTATACATTATTATACACATATTTTCACTTTTGACCTTTCCATATTTATTCTCCTCTATTATTTCTAGTCTCCAACCAGACATACCACTTGTTCCATGTTATATAATACTCTGTGTCTTCCTTTTCTTTTATCTCTTTTGTTAATTTGTCCATCTCAGCACAGTCCAGGATTTTTCTTATTACTTCTTCCTCTGATGGTGTATTCTCATTTTTCCAGCACTGTGCATATGCTATTCTTGCCACTGTTATTATATGTAAAATTAAGTACCATATTTCTTTACTATATTTTCTGTTTAAAATACCCAACAAAAAGAACTCTGATTTCCAGTCTACGGGTTGGCCTATTATTTCTTATTATTCCATTTTCTTATTGTAGATCAGTATTTTTTTGCAACTGGGCATGTCCACCATAAATGATAATATGTTCCATGTACTTTTTTACATTTCCAGCATGTTGGCGAATTGTTCTGGAACATCTTGGCAAGCTTTGCTGGTGGAAGATGCCATCTGTAATACATCTTCAACTGGTTTTCCTTGAATGCCGCCGACATAGTCAATTTTATATTTATTTCCCATATTTTTCCCATTTCTCCAATTTTATATTATATCCGAAATTTTTTGCCCATCTAATCAACTAATGATCATATTCTAATAAGTTTGCATATTTTTACAGACCAATTCAGTTCAATATATAATAATAATAAAGTTGGAAGGGACCTTGGATTGTAGAAATCACACACAGTACACATTGCTTAATGTTAAAATAAATATATATATTTTTAAATAGTTGGACAAAAATGAAGCCAAAGTAGACAACATTTGATATTTTTTCCTGAATTTGTGGATACTAATATACTGCTGTACATGCAGAGAGAAACCGAGATATTGACAGAGGAATTCTTATTTGAATCAAACATTTTTAAAATATATTTATGACAGACAATATATATTTATATATAATATACATTAATAAATAATAATTATAACTATTACCCTGTTTAAATAGCAGACTTACACTTATATAATGACACATTTTACTGGATCAAATCAGCACAAAGTCTAAACAGGTAATTGATCATGTTTCTGGCTACGACTTAAATTATTTTATATGTTAATGATCACTGTATGAAAATAAATAAGTAAAGTCCAACTGTTAGAAGTATTTGATTAATATCTTTCAAGTTTACATTCACTTCAGTCTCCCGTAACATTCATAACATAGAAATGACCAGTCTTCTTGATAATGAAACAAAGTAATTTTTTTAAAGCTTACTTAGAATTACTTTCCTAAGCAGGGGAGTTATGTAACAGGAGTTACAACAGGATGATTTTTATCTACTTCTGTTACTATTGTTAAGCAAGTAAAGCCTTGGAACTTTGCACTACTGCGAGCAGGTACAATGAACTCATTCTGGAGTTTCATGGTAAGTAAAACGAGCAAATGGCAGCTTATTGTCATCTCTGGTGCTATTTTGATCTGAAGTATTTTAGATCAGTTAGTATTTTAATGGAGTATTTTACCTGCTTCGTGCTTGAATCAGCAGTACCAAGAGGTATTGCAATCCTGAATCAAAAATAGCTTTTCACTTTTGCTAGAATTATATTTTAATAGCCACATCAGAATCATGACAAATTTCCATCGATAAATATAGAAATAATGCTAATGAATAAGGTTAAGGACATGATCCAATCTTATTATGGGTACAAGGACAACATAGAAAAAGTTCATAGGCTTAACAGAATTTTGTTTGCTCCCTCCATTTACTTATACAAATCCGAGGAGAAGAGGAGAAAACCAGATTTTTCTATTAAACCTATGAGTTTTCATGCCTGGGTGAACTGGGAGCATGTACATCCTTGATACAGAATGATAATCAGTTACCAATACAAGTTATCCATCTTATGAAAAAAAAATAACCCAGTGTTTAACATTACTTTGTTTCTGTGACTCTGACTCTTTGTATTGTTTTAATGATCATAGATATGGTATAAGGATCATAAAGATCGTAGATTTCTCTTTCTATGGAAAATTCTGCTTGGATATTTTGATGACCTATTTCTCCTAAAAATATCTAGTGAAATAATAGGTGCTGATAAAACATATTAAGTGAGAAGTATGAATAATGTGCTGAACTATCTCTTTAGGACAGGCATGTCAAACTCGTGACGTCACATGATGTCACATGATGTATCACTTTTTTCCCATGGCCAGCAATGGGGTGGGTGCGGTTTCGTTGTGACGCATCTGGCTCGTGGGCCGGCAGTTTGACATGCCTGCTTTAGGAGATCAATAAGAGCATTTCAAACATTGATCCTTCCTATACACAAATTTGGTTTATCCTATTCTACAGTGCAGTATTGTGTGATGAATTCACAATATATTCATCTTTCTAATCTTGAAATCTGAAAATGATATTTAGGAAGATAATCAATGTCAGCTGTCATAAAACTTAAATATGAAATATGGATCTGCTGTTGACTATGAAGTGCTACCTGGGTTCTGCAAAGATGCAAAATATAAATATTTAAAAGCAACATGTATACACAGTATCACTAACTCCTAGAAATACATATTTGCAGAAATTAATATTAGACATTGTAACAATATAACTTTCAGAATATCCTTAAGGAAATCTCTAGATATATATAAAGGTAAAGAAAGGAATACTTTGGGATATTGACCTTTAGACCTAAACAATAGAAACATATTTACTTAACTGAATATAGTCAGGAATAACCCACATGTTACACTGAAAGCCTATTATTGATTTTTTAATCAAAAATAAATTTTATTTTAAAAAGGCATGACAATATGCTGTATACCAACCATGTAATTAGGTTTGGCAAAGGAAAATAGAAAGAATAGAGGACTTTTACATTTCTCCCTCTGTAACCAATGGCAGATCTCTGGAGCTGATTTAAGTGGGAGAGAAATACAATAAGAGATTTATGTATCTTCTGCTTTGTAAAATCAGGTCATGCTCCTATAGTATTTGGTAAATTTCATTTCTTGTCCTACCATTTTCCCATGACTAGCAATACAGCGGTGGAAGTAATACAGTTACCTAACTTCACTGGATAAGTACATAACCAACATGTTGAAAGGCCAATCTATGGATTGTAACAATCCATGGCTTGTAGCAATCTCTGGTTTATAATTTGTTTAATTTGGTAGTCTTGGAAATAAGGCTATATTTTTTATAAACCAACAGAACATATGGTGAAGATGTTTGTTGGATTCAGTTCATAGACAGAAATGAAATTACAGTTTTTTAAAATTAAATATAAATAGAGCCAATTTAATTTTTTATCTTATATAAGTTTTAGATTTAGTATTAAAGAAAATTTTTATATAGACTGTAAATTAACCTTTTAAAAACTGAAAATGTAAATATTGAAAATCCTGATGTTTTTTTCTTTTAGCAGCAATTTAAACTTTTAATGTAATCTATAATTTTATAGATTTTAATCAAAATATGTAATTGGTTAGTATCCTGTCCCTTTCCTCCCTCAAATTTAAAATGTCTTTTAATAAACTAGCTGTCAACAACAGGGTATTTATACATATACAATTTTAGGATTAAATTGTATTCTTACAACATTTAAATTTGAGGTTTCTGATGGGGGGAAATTGATTTGGTTTTCTTTTACTTTTTTTTAAACATATGCACTGCCTATTTTGCTATGAGGTTAATTCTACTGGAGCTGATAGGCTGTCTCTTTCTCTAATTCTATTGTTCAGCTCATGTAATGGTTGCAGCTATTTTCTATGCATACTCCACCTGGAAAATACTTCACTGAAGTAATGAAGAGCAGGAAAGTAATGGGAAAATGGCAGTAGCTTGGGGAAATAATGGAGTTCATGAATTTTAATCCTCCTCCAATTTTATGACTCACTGAAAATTATCATTCTTTTGATGATTTAATCATTTGTGAATAGCATATAACGGGGAGGGGGAATTATCCAATTATTCTTAGTAGTTCTCACCCTTCAAGAATAGAAGACATCTTTCCAGCTTTTCCTCTCAGATTGAATTCTCAATTCAGATTATTGCTGTAAAAAGTATTAATTTTTTTCTCTAATAGTTGCTACTGCTGAGAGAAGAATATTATACATTAAGATATTTAATTAACTTTTGATAGAGTACTTAATGTATAATTCATACTTCAATAAAAATTATATTCTGACCAAAACTATTTGTTTTTACTACAAATCAAAGAATTGTTGCCACACTGGTATTAGTCTACAAGAGAGGCAAAAATAATGCAGAGAGAATGACTTGAGACATCTAGTGAATGGAAAGAAGTCATTAGTTGTGGGAAAGCACCAGAGGGAATAAATATTTCAGAGGCTACTATAATCAGCCAATAAAGAAAATCTTTGGGGCAGTACTGTATCTCAGTAATGACAGCATTTCTCTGTTTCCCCTTGGTCTTGAGAAGAAAGGAAATGGTATTCAAAAAAATATTTCCTAATGACTGAGCACATTTGTGGTACATGCAATATACAAAACTATAGCTTTATGGATGAGAGTTTAGTATGGAACACAATCTAAAAGTTACAATTCACTCTTTTTTAATTGTATCTGAGAATAAAAAAGACAGTATCAGCAACCATGCAGGTTTTTATTTTTTGCACTGATTGATCATTCTAGATCAGAGGTGGGGAACTATGGCCCTTTTATGACTTGTGGACTTGTGGACTCCCACAATTCCTACTGGCTCAGGAATTCTGGGAGTCCACAAGTCAAAAAAGGGCCATAATTCCCCACCCGTGTTCTATATACTGATGGATGGATGTGTTATAACTTCCCAAAGGCTAATACTTCTACCACTTATTTAAGGGAATGCAACAAATGATGAAACATAGTTTCCTGCTAAATTGTCTTGCATACATACAATAGCTTAAAAATAACCTTGCTCTGAGGACAGTATACCACATTTATCCAAATTAAAACTGCTTTGGAGAGAATACACATAATTAGGTGAATGCACATATGATAGTAATTTACCAAGGCTTATATTGGCACTGACTATATAAGATTATATGAGGGGCATACACACACAGTGAATCAACATTGTTAAATGTTATACAAAGCTATGATTTGGACACAAGATCAAGCTTGTAGTCTAATCAAGCAGTTAGCTACCTAGCAGTGTTCCACAATGAAAAAAGGAAGCAGAAAATCCAGATGATTAAACTGCTGCCAAGGAATATCATTTCAGATGACAAAGGAATATCAAAAGTTTGACTAGTGTTATACATAAAATAAACTCACTGCACATTTAAAATTAGCACGCTTGGAAGGCATTAACCAGCTAGTTTTTTTAAAAAAACTGTTTTAATGATAGAAAATGCTGAAGAAAGAGAGATGCTAAAACTCCCTTTTGCCCTCTTCCCAGATCATTTTGAGCACCATTTAGGAATTTTGCATATTTTAAAAAACCCTCAAAGGTGCTCTTGATATAACTATTTGAAAACCTGGATGGTTGCATTACGGCTGTTATTTTTTACAAGTTTTATAAAGGGGTAACTACTGAGAAAAAGGCCTTAATAGGAAAAGGAAAGGAAAGGAAAAAAAACAACCTGTTAGTAGAATAGTTCAATTTACTAGTTGCAAGGTGCTGAATCTATAGTTTAAGAGAGATAAAAGATACATGTTTGTTAAATCTATTAATTTCAGGACCATGATTTATTGCTGGAGATAATAGATTCTATAAGTTCCTTTGCTTTCTTACTGACTACCTTGTTACCACACAGGACACACTTAGCTGATGTCAAACTTGTTTCCCCTTCTACTTCTGAAGGCAAGGAAACAATCCCTGTTTTTGTCAATCTTGACATTTTTTTTATGTTGAAAAACATTTTTCCTATTAAACTTGTCTCACAGATTAATTATATATTTCAAGAGTTCCTCTATTTCAGGGGTGTCAAACTGCCGGCCTGCGGGCCAGATGCGTCATCCGCAAGCCGCGCCCACCCCATTGCCGGCAATGGCAAAACCGGCCTGATATGTTGCGCGATGTCACATGATGTCATGAGTTTGACATGTCTGCATTTGAATAGATTCCATCCAACTATAAAGTAGGACAGTAGTTGATCTCAATTTTTCCAGTGACATCATTAAAATAGCAGTGCTGAATACTGGCCTTTATTATATTTTGTTTAAAATGTGCATGTCAAAATATTAGGAGCTTAACAGAACATTTGGTTTCTTATTTATAAAAAACTCAAGAAAGCTTCACTACTACCAGTACATGTTTATGCTTGAAGTGAATGTTCAGTGGTGCAGTTTTGGGAATGCTGCCGCATTTAGCAGCTCAATCTTGCTCTAGGATGTGCAAAATAAAAGCTGGCAGTTAGCAGGTGGAGGAGAACTGGGAAAATGGGGATTCTGAATTTGCAAATTAGTTCTAGCTATGCAAATTAGTGATATAAATTTTAAAGAAACCAATGTCTCTTTTTCTGGATGCTGCATTTTCTCTTTTTGACATTCAAATACTATGGTGGAATGAGATATACTATAATTTTACCCAACATGTTTTGATAATACTGTATGAGAGTTTAATCCAAACTGTTCCTCTTTCAAGAAACAAACTAAAAGAGCTGCATGGTAGTGGTTTTTTTTTTTCCTCCATCCATTTCCTCCCAAGCTACATTTAATTTCCCATGGCAGCGTACCCTGTTGCGCTATGGGTGAGGCAAAAGCAGTGTTTCTCTTCATCTGGGTTGTTGTCATTTCTCCTCTGCAGAGGATGCCTCTGGACTTGAATCCATATCGCTGAAGGCCTCTTTATTTGTAAAAGTAGAGCTCAGAGTCAAACTGTGTCGAGCGTTCACTGGTGCCAGTTCATTTAAAACAATATTGTCACTTTTCACAAGAGTAGCCTTGTCCATGTTCTCTTTACTGTACTTGGCAACAACAGCATCAAGGAAGTCTAGTTTGGGTGGTAAAGTGCCACTTTCAAATAAGTATTTTGCTAGATAGGACACTGCAATGTTTGTAAAGAAGGAAGTCAGCATTGCTAATGTCTTAAAAGGAAATCTCTGAATGTATTCGTCATCATCATGATACCAACCAGGATACAAAATCAAAGGCTTTAAGGATAGATAAGGTTCTCCTCCAGTAATTCGAAGTAGGAGCCCAAATAAATATCCTACAATGGCACCATAAGTATTTGTTCCTTTGATAAAAAGCACACATAAAAGTTGGGGGAAGATGATGATGTAGACCAAGTCAGAGCTGAGGTACCAGAGACCATATATGGATTGAGCGAGCAGAGCCATCACTGTTGCTGCAGCTCCAAACACAAAAATGGTAATTCGCATGACCCAAACTATTTCCTTGTCTGAAGCCTGTAAAATATAAGAACAGTTTGATTTTGCTTTCTACTACAGATATTTATATACTACATAGGTATCAATAGAATTATATGAATTTAAGGTGATAAAAAGAATGTTAATAGAATACTTATGGCTCAAACAATCTATAACATGATCAGCAATTAAAGAATTTTAGACATATATGATGTATCTAACAGGAACTAATATTTAACGTAGTGGATCATGATAATGCCTTTCCTTTTACAATTTTGGCATTTGTTCTGGCATCCAATTCTAGTATAAAGGGAATTTTCCTTGAAAGACAGGAAAATATTATTACAGTATTATGGCTGGTTGCAGAGTTATCTGGACTCTGCAAGTTATCCAGCTATGGAAAAGTTTCCACTTTGCAATTCTTTCCTTGGTCATAAAGCCAAAATACTGTAAATTTAAATCTTAATATTATACCTTCTACTTAAGGAATTCTTCACCTGGCTATGTTTCACTTAATTCATAGTTGCCTACTCAGTTATTCATAATTTAATAAAATAGGTTTTCAGGCAAAGGCCACTTCTTTGGAGCATATTTTCCTATCTCACAATATACAATGAGAGTTAATTGAAAAGCTCTGCCTGTACAAATCATTAACTCAATTTTAAGAGATAGCTACTGAAGATGAGCTGCAATCCTAACTTAATATGAACCAGAAAATCTTTATTCACAATATTCAAGCATTTGAATATAGCATAAGGTATATGGTTACAATTCCATTTAAGGTTTGCAGATTAAAAACGATGGAAGACTTTTCCTTCTAGAACATCCAAAGGTTTGAGAACATCAGAACATAATCCCTCCACTGCTCAATGATTATCTTAGATTGAACACAAAATGGTTCAAGGTACTCTCTCATTCCTAATACAGTAAAGTATCGTCTATCAACTACAGTTCTTATGACATTACAAAATGATACTGTTTATAATATAGACTTACAGTTTGCCGAAATGAAAGCTGGTATATATTCCGTGCAAACATAGAACTTGCTGATAAAATGGAAGAGTCAGCAGAGGACATTACAGCAGCAGACACTGCCCCAAGGCCAAAGAATGAAATGTACACTGGACAATGATATTGAAGGACAATTGGTAATATCATGTCACTTTTATTTTGATTTTTGGGGTCTGGACCAAAAAATTCGGTCTGGTTCCAAGCTGTAACATAAACATACATTAATTACTAGTGGATAGACCTGTACTTGAAAAAAGAAACCAAGCTTCAACAACTAAAAACAGACTTTTTAAAACTTAAAAAAATGGATTTAATTGCTGGATTCTATGGTCTGGTCTGTTTGCTGGTCTATCCAAATATTCAGTCATGTGTTACAAAGTATGTCTTCATTAGATTTAAATTTATGATTTAGATGCCGAATTTGGCTAGTATTATGCCAAATTTGCAGTTGTGAAATCTTAGTAGACTTTAAAAGGCTTCAGGCTGAGCATTTAATTCATGTTTCATAAAAGTCAAACTATACATTATACAATTAAAATTTAAATAGAAGAAACTCAAGCGATATCAGGATTCAGACTGAATTATGCAAGAGGGAGGTCAAACTCTTGGCTTCCATCTTGCTCCTAATAAAAGCTACATTAGATTCTATCATAGTTTTCCTCACAGACCAAAAGATAGTTGTGAGCAGGGATTCCTTGAGACTGGATTAAAGAAAGAATGATATGGGGTATCTGCAGAAATTGTCTCATGGTCCTTATGTACTTCAGTTTGAAAATGTCTAAAATTCAACGACTCAGAATTGCCTATAAAACAAGGTATCTCAACTATATTAGTAATAAAACTATTGTTCCTCATCTGCAAAGATCAAAATCTCGATCTCTTTCTTGCTATCTCTCTATCTCCTTTTCCACTTCCGCCAGAAATAGGAACAAAGGGGAGAAAAGGCTGGTGATAGGTGAGGGGAGATAGTATATTGAGATAGAAGAAATGGAAAGAGTAACAGTAAACAAAATTGGATACTGAAAGATCAGAAACTAGCTAATTATATAGAAAAGAGAGGAGGGCTAAATTAACCAGGCATTTAGCTTCTCCCAAGGAAGAGCTTGTTTACAAGCTAATCAAAGGCATCCATGCTTGACAGTGCCATGTTTGCTACCATCCACAGCTCCTCCCATTCACTTGTTCAGTACCTATCTCACTCCTTTCACAGGTAATTATTTAGAGCAATATTACTCCTTTGTAGCAACTTCAAGGTATGTGAACTTTAACTTCCAGAATTCCCTGATCAGATTTTGATTGAAGGATAGGAGTAACATTAAGGGCAGTTCAATGATGGAACTACATAGACCTCCCCTTTCCTGCACCTGCCTTAGCAGAACTACAAACCTGTGAAGAATACTTCCATTTGTATTCACACACTGAACCCATGGTTATAATCGGTTGCCCAAATGGCCTTTCCAAACTGAATTCCATTCTTGTTTGTTTGTATGTTTGTTTTAATACTATTGGGAACTATACCATAATGAAAAAAATAGCATTGATATATTACAAACATTGTAAGTTATTACAGCTCTGAGATAACACTACTTTGGATATTCATCTATTGTTAGACATTAACTTTCAAAATATGTGTCAGTGGTATCCACTGTCGTCCGAAATGAAGAGGCAGGAACGCCGGTATACACTGAACCGATCAACTTGTTTTATTCTTCTGATGAAACAAAGTCAGCACTGGGAGTGGCTTTCTCCCAGTGCTTCATAAAGGTTTGCCACACCCTGTGTCCCCGCCCCCAGCCCCAAACTAATATCCGCCCAAACCGGATAAAGGTCCTGTCCTCTCCCTGTGCCCTCCGTTTCACCAACGGGACTCCGCTTCCGCGTTCCTCATGCCGTGCAGCAGGGTTGTCAAACTTGCAACGTCACATGATGTGTCAAGACTTTTTTTCCATTGCCAGCAATGGGGTGGGCATGGTTTTGCCATGATGCATCTGGCCTGCGGGCTGGCAGTTTGACACCCTGGTGTAGAGGCTCATTTCTTGAGCCTTCAGAATGTTTAATTTGTTATTAGGATAAATATTAGGTTGATGTACCTGTTGATGCACCAATGGCACCAATGAGCACTGGAGGTATTGCCATTATAAGACACCCAAAAGCTGCCAGAAAAGAGAGTATTTGTGCATACATAGCTGATGAAGAAGAAAGGACTCGCTGGAAATAGGCTTGCCACGGGATTCCTCCTAACATCTACAAATAATCATAAACATTGCAGTCATTCATTCCTGGCAAACAGATGCTCACATGAATCCAAGCAAAAACACATTTAGTCAACATGCTCCTTTATCAAACCTATTTGCCTTGCAGTCATCTAAAGGACCCTATACCTTCAGCAGTAAAAGAGTGCTTTAAACCTTGCAAGCATTTTTTTCCTGACCAAAGTATGGAATATGATATTTAGAAAGAAGGTTATCCCCTTAAGCTAGATTTTCCCCCAAACCCCTTATTCTTTGGATTACATTTCAAGAAAGCAGCAGGAAATAAAAAAAGTTGCTGCATATTTTTTTCATGATTCTATCACCCTTGGCTTGCCTCTAATTCAGTTCTTCTAAACATCAGCAACTTTAAGATGTTGGGCTTCTACTCCCAGAATTCTGGGAATTGAAGTTGAGACATCTTAAAGGTGTCAAGGTTGAGAAACACTCTTTAGTTCCTTTTCTTCTGGGCAGAAAATAATTCCAGAAAGGAATGTCCAATGATAGATTTGGCAAATCTCAAGAAATAACTATGTGTAGAAGCTGTTGTGTTAAGTTGTTTATCCACAGAGAAGCTGATTTGGCTTTAAATATTCACTGGCGTTAAAAACCAATTGCTGATGCATCATTTTTTGGTTAATTTTGTACAAGGAATTCAGAAACTGTATTGGGAATTTTATATATTAAATCAGTTTCATACTGCTTCCTCACACATTTCTGTCCTGCTCTGTAACCCAGAAATATATCTTCCTACTTCAAGATTTTAAATGCTTTTTTTTCTAAATACATATTTGAAAGATTGGATAAATCTACTGTATCTGTCCAGTCACTCTTCTATTGCAGATCTACTGAATCCTGTCATACTCGCTATTAGAAAAGTTCCTAAGATACTTGCAATATAAGCTCTTCTGCTTTTTCACAATGTCATATAACTGTAATTACATATCTTTAGCATACAGTTACATTTAAAAGGTTATTTGTGCAGTTGTTCAAACTTATTTTGCTTAGCTTAGGGCATGTAATTGTATAGTTCAATCATTCTGAGCTACAACCAACATAATTCCTTGCTGGTTGGAGCTGATAGGAGCTGATTGTCCAAAACATCTGGAGGGATCTAGGTTGTTTCTCTCTGCATTAGATAATTTGCAATTTGGAAAATAAACCTTAAGTGGTTTGTGGTCTTTCACAAAAATCTCACCAGTAAGAAGAAATTGTCAAGCCATATGTATATGTCAGCTGATTTAATGGATCCAAGCCAGGGTTTTTGATATACTTCATGCACAGCTGTGTACCCAATGTTTGTTACTGCAGGATGGGACAAGGCAAATGGGATGCTGATCCACTATATTAAAAAAATGAAGCGGATAGTAAAAGAATGGCATAAGTATTTCTTTGTTTTTATCTTTTTCTTTTGCCATTTTTTAATTGCAAAACATTTTTGCAGGCAAGAAAATACCAAAATGGTTTTATCTACATTTCTTCTCATCTTTCTACAAACTTCTCACAGAATATTGGTAACAATACTGTAAAATGAAAATATACCAATATATATTCAAAATTAAATGCATGGAAAGAAATTAATCCAGAGAAAATAAACACTTTATACCCACTAGCTGTAACTTTATCCTTCACACAAATGAGACTACACATCAGAATCATATCTTAATTTTTCTTAAAAAAAAGTTCTCTGAGATTGAAAGAAAACAGGCATGGAACTAATTTGATCTTCTTTGGCAGGAATTTTTAGAACTAGTAGCAGAAGTTCACTCTCTGATTCTACTTTGTGTGCCTCTGATGGTAAGAGAATAGAAAAGGGCTAGGGAACCTAAAATATAAACAATCCTTTTTTTTATTTAACTGGCTTTCCTTTAATCTTTTGGCAGAAATTTTAGGCAACTGAAATTATTTACATGAAAACATATTGCTCACGTTATCTTCTTGTGAAGGAAAGGAGAATTCTATGTTCTATTTTGAATTCACATTCTACTTCTAGAATGAATTGAATCAGAGAATGAAAACTGCTTTTTTAGAAACAAAAGGTGTGAAACTATATCCTCTTACTTAAAAAAGAAATACATAGTACTAGGAAGCGCAGAACGAATTCAATAGACCGATTCTTGTTCTTGGGACTGGGAGCTCTTAGCTGTGTTTATTGGTAATAAGCATCAGTAAACCAAACTCAACCTACTTAAGCAGAGGACTGAACTCCAGTTTTATAACAATATTCAGTTTTGTATATGTATGTGTGTACAGGCATATTGGAACTGTAGAATGAAAAGGAAACAGTATGTGAGGAGAATAGTATACTCTTTTGCACACACTTCTCATACAAAGTCACCATTGCATTGCACTTATTAATGTGGCATTTTAAAAGACATTTTAAAATGCATAATAAGTAAATGTTTGCAACTACAAATCTTTGCCAAGTCTTTGGTGTTCTCTGAGCTTGCAGATGATTCATCACCCAACTAGGTAACATCATCAGTACTAGTGGCGTTTGTTCCCTGTTTATATAGTACAGTAACTTTCTCTGCCATTGTTGGTGGAGTGTGATTTTCTTTTTGGCAGTTTCTTAAATAAAGTATTTTTTTTTTGCTTGATTGTTTGCCTAGTGTTAATCCCTGTTTATTGGGTGTAGACCAGGCATATCAAACTGCCGGCCCATGGGACGGATGCATCACACCGAAACCGCACCCACCCCATTGCTGGCAATGGGGAAAAAGTCGTGAGACATCATACAACGTCACATGATGTTGCAAGTTTGACATGCCTGGTGTAGACTGTAGAGAGGATCCTTCTTAGCTTCTTTTTATTGTCTTTTTTTGAATGGTGTGTAAATGTGATTTATCTCTGTGTGTTTATTGATTTACCTCTATGGGTCTATTGAAGGCTGATTTGTCTGAATGACAAACTCCCAGGAATTCCCTAGTGTTTTTGAAGTTAGCTTTGCCTAGGATGCTCACAGTTTCCCAGTTGAAACTATGCTTGAGCCTACCCATGTGTTGTGAAATTAAGGAATTTTCATTGTGTCTTCTGCTTGCTAGTTAGTGTTCATGGATGTGCTCCACTAGTCTTCTGTCTATCCTACATAATGGCTGTTATAGTCTTTACACTTCATGTTGTAAGTGAATCCTGTTTCTTTTGTTCTTTGATTACTGGACTTATGGTTTACTCAAGATATTTTGGAGAGTTTTAGTTTGTGTGCTACCACAATGCCACCTGGTTGTAATATTCTGTTGTTTCTGAGATGTTTTTGATGTATGATAGTGTTATCCTTTTCATAGCTTGTGTTGTGTGCTATAGTGTTGGAGTGGTCAGGCACTTTTTAATAAAGTTGCATGGGTATCTATTTTGTTGGAAAATGTTTTATAGTAATGAAGCAACTGCAAGAAAGCAACCAAGCTCAAAGAACATCAAGGTCTCCACAGTTAATTCCTGAGCTAAATATATTCTACTGGATTCAAGAATCCTTGTCAGGATGTAATGTCAGCATGCAGCATTAATGCTGCTGTACATAGATGCTAAATGGAGGTTGACTATTTGAGATTATTATTGAAAGGCCTCCTTAAACATTTGATCAATCATGCTTAAATCTAAAGGCAACAGGTAACCATAAAGTTAAGATAGTGTAGTTAAAGTCAACAGCAAGTTTTTTCCTAGCATAAGGAAGAGAAATTAAGGGAGGGAAAGGATTAACAAAAGAAAATGGAAGGTATAAAAAATAAAATGTGTCAATCCCCCAACATTGGGGAAATGATTATTGTTGCCTGGGAGGGGGGAATTTATTGGGGTTTGCATTTGGGGGTTCTACTTCTGTTAAGTCACTGGAGTCACTGTAAGTGAGTTTGGTGGCCATACAAATCTTCATAATAAATACATAAAAACATTATATAAAAGTTTATTTTCGGGTAGAGGTATATTCTCTGATAGGGAACTCTGCCAGCTGGGATTTTGCTTTCAATTTTTTCTACTGACATAATCTGGATACAGTGGAGTGGAAGGGAGGAAATTCTGCTCTTGAGCTAAATGAAAACATTCTCTTCCTATATTAACTGTGTGCACAATAGAGAGAAGAACAGAGAGAGAAGCAGTAGCAGGTTTGGAGAACAGAACTGCAGATATCACATGCCTTTTTTCACCCTTTAAGTAAAGATGCTACCCTCAGAAAACATTCTGTGGCCAGAAGTGAAGAATTCAACCCAACTGACAGTCCAATCATATTCTGTTCTTGAATCCTAGATATGTATTCAGAGATACTGGCAAATTAAGAACCATCATTATGCCATCATCCTTCCTGGCCATTTCTTATATCTTCCTTTCTTGGATACAAATCCAAGATTTCTCATCTATGTTCAAATTTGATCTCTAGTTAATATAAATCACAATTATGGTTAGTATTTATTTATGTTATAACAATAGTTAAGACAAGGATAATATAAAATCTTAATATTCCCTTTCTTCCACACATTAATCAGCATGTTCTTGCAATCTGTACGGACATGAAGCATCTTCTTCTGTTTGGTATGGAATACAATTACCCTGATATTACGTATGGAAAGGTAAATACAAACTCACCAGTCCTAAGAAAATGCAGAACAGCTGGACCACATCAGTGTAAGCTACTGAATAAAGTCCTCCAATTAAGGTGTACAGAGTTGCAATGGAGGCAGAAATAATAACTGAAAAATTGATGCTGATGTCAATTATCACACTTATGGTGGCACCTGGAACAAGTCAGAGAAATAAGTTAAATGTCTGCTAACTATTTATGTACTTTCCAAAGTGTTTCAATGTGACTAAGGAGTTCATTTTTGTCTTTTTGTCTCTGTTTCTAAAATAAGATTATATTTTCATGAAGGAAAAAAAGGATTGAAAATATTTGCAGAAGATCTAATCAGATCAGTATAGTATCTTTTCAAAGATCAAATCAAGCTCATTGCTTTCTAAATTAGATGTCAGTGAAAAGATCTCTAAATGGCATCTTTCTAAACTACTATTAGATGAGAAGTATAAGAACCCATGTTATTTTGCACATAACTTTAGGTATGAAATGGTAATGTGAGAATTATATCTGTCAGGCAGAAAAGCAACTAAGCATCACCACGAGAGATAGATAGATAGAGAGAGAGAGAGAGAGAGAGAGAGAGAGAGAGGAGGGAGAGAGAGAGAGAGAGAGAAAGAGAGAAAGAGAGGGAGGGAGGGAGGGAGGGAGGGAGGGAGGGGGAGAGAGAGAGGGGGGGGATGCAGTGCTCAGCATGCTGAATAAAATTTTGTAGCAACAAACTGGAAGTAGATACTTGTTATGCTGGTAGATTCTGCTTATACTAAAATATATTACTCTAGCCATTTTTTCTAAGCCAAAAGTTAAAGGTGAGAATTGTAGGGTTTGCTCAGCACATTTGAAGTGAACTTGTGGTATCCAGGATACACTCCCTTCTCCAGCCATGATAATGTTACTTAACCATACAAATGATCTTGTTAATGTTCAAAGGTTCATGGACAAAGCATAGTGCTTATGCTTGAATATGTTGCTGTCCTTGGTCCTGACTCAATGTGCATATAAGCCGCAACCATTCCTCAGCATCTAAAAGAGTAAAATCTTAGTTCTTAATTGCAAGTTGTCTTTTTGTGAGCATAACAGGCTTTTACAATATTTGCTTCCACAATGTGACACACAACAGAAATATTTCAAGTACAGTAAGCTGTATTAAAAGAGAACATGCATTTTAATTTCCCTGAAAATTGCTTAAGCCACTCAGTTTCCATCACCTCAGCATGCAGCTTATTCTTGGCTATAGTTAAAAACCTCCCTGTTGCTTTCCAGAGAATCAAAACACAGCTGGAAGCAAGGCTGATTATTTTATTTATTTTAAAACATGTCATTGGCAACTTACTCTGTATACATAGTTATTGGTTGTTAGGTGACAAAAGTTGCAAAGGACAGTTCAGAAATTTATCAGAAGGATTCTCTACCCCAGGGCTTTTCAACCTTTTCACCCATTGTACCACTTTCTGGATATGGCAACATCCGAGTAGCACCAGTCACTTAGCAAGGTGTCAAAAACTTTATGACCAAAAAAAAAGGAAAAAAGTGATAAAGTACAGGTAGTCCTTGACTTACAAGAGCTCGCTTAGTGACTGTTTAAAGTTACAATGGCACTGAAAAAAGTGTCCCCCAAAGCACAGCCAAGCAAGACACCTGCTTGCCCACCCAGCTGCGCTCTTCCTCCTGTCCGAGGTTTTCATTGTTGTGAGCATTTCTGTTGAGGATTGGCAGCGGGGGTGGGGTGGGAGGGTGTTTGGTTTTTAGTCCCCCTGTCTGCTGGGTGGTTGCAGCAGATTTTGGTCACTTCACATGATCCTGGGACACTGTGACCGTCGTAAATATGAATCGGTTGCCAAGCATCTGAATGTAAATCACAAGACCCTGGAGATGCTGCAACATTCCAGCTGATCGGCATTTCTTCTGGGCTCAGCAGAAGTGTCACGATCAGCACTGAGCTTCAGCTGGAGCCTGGCACTGCTGCTGAGCCCTGACAGCCCTGCAGCTCCAGCCATCTCATTCCCCTCCCTCGCTACCACTTTTCTAGAATGGTCGCATACCACCTGCCAGGTGCCAATGTACCACAGGTGGTACCTGTACCACTGGTTGAAAAGGCTTGCTCTACCCTATTTACATGTTTTATTTATTTTATAATTTTGTATATTGCCCCAAGTGTAAAATGTACAACAGGGAAAATAAAGACCAATGATTATATTTAACTGAGTTGATAAAGTGAGTTTGCAATGGCAGCAATCACAGTAGTAATGGGAAATAGCAGATTGGTACTGAAAATTGTCAAGTCATTATTAAGAAAGAGATATTAGAACTTTAAGGGATATTTTACCTTCTGATAGCTCTGTCACCTTTTAGAAAGTTTCTAGCTCTTCAAAAAACCTGGTCTTCCTCCTACGTAATACAGTTCAAAATACAACAAATCATCCATCATGGATGATGTGGCTTAGTTTCTCCCTGCTGCATTCCTTGTAATAAAGGGCAAGTGGGAAGCGATATGAAGCAGTTGTCATCATAAAAACTTATCTTCCATCTCCAGATGTTTGAGCAAACGGATAAATATTAAATGTGTGTACTTTTGGCCAATCTGAATTCCACCTTGTAAACAGTCAATCTTAATAACAACTCTTGTATTGTTAGAATATATCAGCTTAAAATTGTGATATTTTGCATTGTCAATTGTAACTGGAAGATGACTTAGTTATGATAAATGGTCCTCTGCAGGAGGGAAGCTTTTTGTTTAAAGGATGCAATTCTTAAACCTCTTTGGAGAAGCCTGTTCCAGATAACTTGGAGATAAGGAATTATATGCCAAACTTAGCCCTTCTTATTTAAGATGATTATTTAAGATGATTGAGATAATGGTGGCAGCTTCTCACCTGCAGGCAATATTGCAGGAAAGATTTGACCCATTTCAGGTTATGCTATGGGGTTCAGATGATCTTAGTTGGCTTGAAGAATGATCTTCAATATGGTGTGTGACACTCTTGATTTTCCTGGACTGCTTAGTGGCTTTCAATATATGGTAATTGTGGGAGTGATTTATAACAATAATAATAATAATAATAATAATAAAAATTGGAAGGAATCTTGGAGGTCATCTAGTCCAACCCCCTTCTCAGGCAGGAAACCCTATACCATTTCAGACAAATGCCTGTCCAGTTTCTTCTTAAAAACTTCCAGTGTTGGAGGATTCACTGCTTCTGGAGGCAGGTTGTAAAAAGGAATAATGGTTACTAAAATAAAGAACAGGTACAGATTGCCTCACTTTTTATAGAAAAGGCAAGTCTTATCTGTTTTATAAAAGCTATATAAAAAAAGATTGAAGAAAAGGGAAAGATTTTCATTACCATAGGTTGTTGATATAGATCTATTCTGTTTGAAAGTCATCACTAGAATGACCTTAATCCACTTTGTAATAAATACAGTTAATCAGAGTTCTTAGATTCTTATGCCTAGACTGATTTCAGCCTAGATTATTAGGAGAGGAATTTGGAGGAATTCTTCTAGATCACTAAAGAGATTTGGAAACAGAAGGTATGGTTGTATAGGTTTTCCATTTCTATTTTTCAGTTATATTTCAGATGGTATCATTCGTAGATATTTGTTCCTTGAAATAAGAACAATTATATCAGTTTGCTCAGGACTCCACTCTGTCTCCTGTATTTTTCAATTCCTATTTGAAAATGTTGGGGAAAATTATCTGATTTTTTTTGTTGGGCAGTATCAGTATGCTAATGTATTGAAAACCCAAATGAATTTCTCTTTGACATTTGAGGAAATTGTATACTTTTCTTCAGTGTCTGCCTGAAGTCATTAATGAACTGGAAAACAGGATGGAGGTGCTCGTTGTGAGAGTCAGACTTCCAAAGACATGGTAAATGTACATATTCAGAAAGGGATTATACTCTCCTAAAAAGAGCACATCATAGTTTAAAGGCAAGCTTCTAGAGCAAACCTTTCTTGATCTTCAGCAGATTGAGGTAATAGCCTGGAGTGCCTTTTATCAGCTTTTGTTGATATTGTTGCTGAGTCCAGTTCTGAAAGATAATGGCCTTAAAAATGTGGTCTTTTTATTATACTGTATGGAGCAGTCTTTCAGAGGGAGATTTATATAGTTCTTTTTAAAATTCTTTAGGAAACAACTCAGGATCGAGCCTTTGTACATTTTTGGACTGTATTTCCTGAAGAATGGAAGGGCCTAATATCTTTATTCGCTATTTAAAAATGCTTTAAAACATATTTTTCTTGTAAGCTTTTAATAATATAAATACTCAGTAATATCAGTCATTAATGTCACTTGCTTGTTGAAGTGGCATTTTAACCAGTTTTAGCTTCTAAATTTTAAATGTAATTTTAATTGAAAAATTGGCATTGGTGGTCAGCAGTATACCATGTTAAATAAGCAAGTAAATAAATATCAGGGGAAAGAACCTGTCAGCTGAGGTTTTCAAATTGCTCCCTCTAGGTAGGAAGTAGCTTTCTTTTTCTTTTAAAATATATTTTGCTTATTTTTTAATATAATCGTCTTAATATTTGATAAACAGCATGTTGTCTGGGCTTATATTTAAAAAACAATAACAATTAGTTTCTATAGTTCTATATTCCACATAGTAGCTTTGCTTGATTTTCTCTTCTTCCAATAATATTCTCTTTTGCCAACCTTGAATTAATACAATTCTTATTATTTTGAGAAATAACAATTAAATATAGACATTTTTCTAATATTTCTGAAAATAATAACCACACCAATATAAAGCTTCTTTTCTAACTGATCATCTTGATTGCCTCGTCATAGATCCTGTTTACAAAATTCTTATTTAAATTTATTTTCCCCACAATGTTCAGAACATTCTTACTACTTAAAATTTTCTCAAACTTCATTACACTTAAGTATTTAAGTCTTTTTCCTCATACAGGCCATCCCAACACTTTTACATTTTTCATGAGTTAAAACTAGGAGCTGACTGTGGCTCAGATCATGAGCTTCTCGTTGCAAAATTTAGGCTTAAATTGAAGAAAGTAGGGGAAAGCACTAAGCCACTCAGGTATGAACTAAATCATATCCCTGATGAATATGCAGTAGAGGTGACAAATAGATTTAAGGAATTAGATCTGATAGACAGAGTGCCTGAAGAACTATGGACGGAGGTTCGCAACATTGTAGAA